AGATCCCGCTCCTTCTCCCGCTCCTCCTCCCGCGCCTCCTCCGCCCCTTCCCATTTCCCCTCCCGCTCCTTCTCCCGCTCCTAACCTCCTCCCCGTTTTCCCTCCCGCTCCGCCTCCCGCTCCTCCTCCCGCCCCTTCTCCCACTCCTCCTCCCCCGCCTCCCACTCCTTCTCCCGCTCCTCCTCCGCCAAACAACATGACCAAGATCCCGCCATAGCTTCTCCTAGGGGGAAAAAAACGAAAAAAGGCCCGCCACGTGGCCAGCCAGAGAGAGAGAGAGAGACTGACCTCCCGCTGCTCCACCACAACTTCGTCCTCCTCCCGTTCCTCTCGCTCCCGCGCCTTCTCCGGCTCTAGGATGGTGCATGGTCACCTGCCCGTCGCCGGACGCGCTCGCATGACCTTCGCGCGGCGCTTGCTTTTTGCGCCCGGCGCTGCTGCCGTTTTCCCCATAGGACCCACGGCGCTGCGCCGGCGAGCCCTTCTGCCCTGCACCAGCGGGCGCTTTTCGGTTCGGGCTTTCGGGCCCGGTGCGATTCCAGTCCCTCAGTCGGCACACGCGAAGGCGGGCCCCTGGCACGCTTTCTCGTGGGCCCGCGGTGGCGTGTGTCGTCGGGCCCTTCGTATTTAAGAGTATAGTAGAGGGGAAAAAAGAGTCCAGTAAGGAAGGATTGAAAGAGCCCAGGTTGTTGTAGAGGTGGGATACTAGACGGATGGCAGTCACCCACACCCACAGTACTCGGCCACTTGGTTGTCCAGATGAACCCCTCTGAAGACCCCACCCACCCTTCCTCTCATCTTTTTGCCCTGGCGCACCCCCACCCCCCCTGTCCTACCCTAGTGTTAACCACCCACGACCATCACCCAGTGCCATCTTGGCGAGGTGACCTGACCAGACAGCGGTTGCAGGTACCGGGGCTAAGCAGAAATGCCTACCCCCTGCTCAGCCCCGGTTGAAGCAGATGCCGTGCAAGGATTGAAGGTTGTAAAACTGAGATGCCTAATCAAGATAACAGTGTTCTTTTGAGTATATTATAGGGGGGGAAAGAGTACAGTAAGGAAGGATTGAAGGTTGTAAAACTGAGATGCCTAATCAAGATAACAGCATTGCCTTGGGATATCAGGTATTCAGGCTTGTAGTATTTTACTCATTTGTTTCCACTACAGATCGAACACGGGTCTGTATTTCAGAGTATATATATATAAGGTTGCCGGCGTTCGGGTTCAGCCGAACTCCCGAACCCGAACCTGCCGAACGTTCGGCCCCCCTTGGGGATGCGTTCGGCCGTTCGGGCCGAACGCGGACCTAAAAAAAAAAAAAAAAAAAAAAAAAAAACTCTGAAAAAAATATATGTTATGCAGAAAAATAAAACTAACAACATGTAAACCACCAGCATTGCTCACAAACGAAGGTGAAGTGTCGTGTTAGCGCTATGGTAACGCAGCGCTAACGCGACGCTCCTGGTCGCATGTAAGCGTACGGGGCTCACGTTAGTTAGGGTTGACGACAACAGTCAACCTTCGTCGCCAAAACTCGATGTTGGGGAGGCTATGGCGTAGCGGGGAGGAGTGTTGGGGCGCTAGTGGGAGCACGCTGCTGGGACCCTGACCGGTCCTTGGCCATCACCGGTTTCAACTGGCTACCCGTCAGTAATCCAATCTGGTTATGGAGGGCAGGGCGTTGATGTGTGGGTGATCGACTGATGAGATCCAGGCGCGACAACATACCTGATGAAACCGATTGGGGGTGTTGCCCCTCGGTCTTCAATACGGAGGTTCTGAGGGATTATCTTGCCTTTGGTTATTAGGGGCAGCCTACAAAATTTGGTGGGCGATTTAATTCTCTCTTGGAACATGGCAGCTTCTGGTTGGTTAGTTGAGATCGCCTCAACGTCGACTTCTGTGCTTTCGAGATTTTGGATGGAGCTTCTTCTGTCGCCATTTTTGTTTGTTTTTCTAACCTAACCGAAAAAAAATGGGTGTGACTTTGAATGATTGGCTTCGTGCGGGAGTTTGTATTGATGAGATTCGGAGGAACTTTTGTGTATTGTCGCCGTTTAGGTGAGACCTTCGAATGATTGGCTTCGTGCGGGAGTTTTCTTCATAATGTTTAGGCAGACACATCCATACACTCCACATGGCAACATAATCTGGTGTCCTTGGATGATTTTCAAGTATTGTGTTGAATGGTGGGTGCATGATTTCGGAGAACTAATCTTCAAGTCTTGCATGGAAAAAACGTGTTGAGAAGTACGACGTGTTTTTCCTAAGTACCAGACGTATATATAAAATCGAATTTCAAAAATAATAAATTTCTATTATAAAACGCAAAGTAGTTTCCCTGTCAACCATTACAACATAGTGCTTTGTATTTAGCCTATCCCTCCAATCAAAAACTCACAATTTACAAAGGACCATCGACTTTAACAAGGTAAGTGAGGACATAGTAGTCCGTTGTACGATTCTTGGGCGCCCGCTCACTGTGTGATAATCCGATGATTCGGAAAGCCATATCAGATTACTATGCCAAATTTCTACAACGACATATACATACGAACGATTGCAATATAATATATATATAGATATAGATATAGATATATATAGGGTCACTGGTCCATATGTACGGAGGCCCCAGAGCCAATCTTTGTACGTATAGGAGTTCGGGGTCCCGTTCAGGGTCTAAACCCGAAGACGTTCAACCTCCATCAAAAATTATTTTGGGGCCTAAACATAAGTTTCGTTTTCTGAATTGTTTTTTATGAGTTTTGTATTATGTGTACATGCTATTATATTTTGAAGTCATTTTACAAAGCCAAACAAAAATTAAAAATTTTCAAAGATGGCGGTGTTAAAACGTGTTCTCCCACTCACTAGGTTTTTTTTTTCACTTTTTACTTTTCGTTTTCACTTTACTTCGGGACTTATATACTTTTATTCTTTTGTACAACTTTTGTAATGCGTTTTTTACTATGTGAAGTACACATCTGTAAATTTTCAGTGCATTTGGTTATAGCAAAAAAAAACAAAAAATGGCGGTGTCGAAAACGTGCTCGCTCACTCAGTAACTGTAATTCTCCTTTCATTTTTTTTTATTTTTCTTATTTGCTTTATTTGATTTTTATTTCAAATTTGGTAAGGAATTTGGATATAATTCTTAGGCAAATGATGTTTATTTTAATTTTCTTCATAACATAGTTTTATTTCATATTTTTTTGATTTTTTTTTTTTTTTTTTTGTCCGCGTTCGACCCGAAGTGCCGAACGCATCCCCATGCTGTCTCTTATACACATCTAGATGTGTATAAGAGACAGCCTCTACACTATACGGAGAGCAGTATCCTAGCTC